ATTTTCATTTAGGGTGATAAAGTTACTAAAGTCAATCGTATTTTTACATTCATCATTAAAAAGTTTAGCAAAATACCTCATCCACTTTTGTTGAATGTTATCTTCTAAGAAAAGTATTTTTTAATCTTCATCCTTAATACATTTCACTTGAACTAAATCTTTACTACTTCTATCTCTTTGTTTGGCTAACTTATACATATATCTTTCTCTCTCCTTAGAATCTAATCTATTATATAAATCATTAAAAGCTAAACTCTTTGCATCGTAAATAGCTTTCTTAGATTCCTTACAAGCCTCTTTATAACTTTCTCAATTATCAAAATTTTTATATCTAAACTAATTTTTATAACAATCTTCTTATTTTTTATCTTTTCTTGCACATTTGAATTCCACCACCAACTATTTTTATAATTAGAAGCTTTTCCATTCGAAACTCCAAGCACATCTTTTACAATATTCTTCATATCACAAGTCACTTTTTTCCACATAATATTAGCATCCTCATGCACTGACAAAATCTTAAGATCTAAAATCTTATTCTCAAAAATATTTTTGTTAATAATATTTAAATGCCTCATCTAATCCTAAAAAATTGTTTAACTTTATTTTTTATTTTTTTCACTTTTATCTTAAAGTTCAAAACTAATAATCGATGTTGGGTACATAAATTTTTACTTGGAATAACTTTACAATCTTTTCAATCTAAACGATTTAATTTTCTTATAAAAAAAACCAATCTGCATTTTACTATATCTATTTTTATTAGTAATAAGATGCTCATCTCTTTTCTTAAATAAAGTATTAACTATTAAGAAATCATAAGCTAAAGAAAATCTAATATAATCTTATCACCTTCATTTGTCGTTCCAAACCCATGGCCACCATTGATGCTTTTAAAATTATCTACCTCTCTACTAACATGTCTATTTAAATCTCATCCAATAACAACTCTTTCTTCAAGAAGTATCTTTTATATTAATTCTTTTAAGTCATTCTAAAATTTTAATTTTGAACTCATATCCAAACTTATATGAGGTGCATAAGCACTTATAATATTAACAATCTTAGCATCAACAACAATCTTTAAAATTATAATTCTGTCTCCAATTCTATTAATTTTTATAACATTATCCTTCAAATTATAAAGATACTTATATCAATTTTGTTATAATAAGTAGTATATACAGAGGAGAGGTCACAAAGTAATTTACAAAAGAAAAATGGGGTAAAACGTTGGAATTGAGGAGAGAACTCGTCAAAGAGATAAGAAATGCAATTTTAAATTAAAAAAAAAACAAATGTTATTACTTTTAGTTATATATACACTTTTAATTGAATGAATTGAAGGGGGAAAAATATTAAGCTTATTCAATTTATTGAATATGAGTATATATCCAAGTATTCATATATGAACAACCACATGTATGTTTGAATAATTGAGATTTAAAATAAAATGTAGTATGATTATTTAGAAGTTTTATATTTACTGTTGTTACAGGGAAACACAAGGAAAAAGTTGAAGCAGTTTAGACTCAGGTTAGTAAATTTTAAGTTTTATTTTTAGCAGTATATGTAATTCTACATCTAAAATATGTAGATTATTAAATTATTGTAATATTGAATTCTCTTAATGGCTATGTAATTACTTTTGTGATACAACAAAGACTATTTAGATGCTTTCGTTTATTCAAAAAATGTGTTATACTATGCTTGGAACATATATATACATATATGGAAATGATTAAAAGTATTAGATGTTAAGAATTATAAATATTATATTTTCTCTGTTCATTCTACATTGTAGGTCCCATCGTGAGGTGTTACAAAAATGGTATCAGATAAAGAATTAAGATTTGGAGGATTTAATTATAGAAGCTGAAATAGATTGAATAGTTTTAGGAAAGAGAATTAAATTTGAATTAATTATAACAAAGCTTAGGTGAGAGTGGTGTTTATAAGTTAGTCATGAGTTTAACTTTCGATCATGCTTGCAATTGGCATAGAACATTAACAAGTTAATATGTGTGTATGATTATATAAATGCATAATTCATGATGTAATGTATAACATATATAATGGCTAAAAGGGTATTTAAAGGGAGTAATAGTTAGTCTTCTCAGAACGATAGGAGACCAAAGGGTCCTGAAAATATTACACCAATTAATAGCAATACACAGAGTTGACAATTACCAGCAGCACCTGACATTGCCAGTGTAATGATAGAGACTATGATGCAAAAGCAGATGATGGATATGATGATTCAAATGATGGAAAAGATGTAGTATTTGGTAGGATCTGCAACACCTAGTGTTCCACCTGTAGTTATACTAGCCACTCCTACAACTCTTGGTAGCAGTTAGGGCTGCAAGCGAACCAAATGTTCGGCGAGCTACTCGTTGTTCGGTTCGATTAAAGCTCGTTTGCGATCGTTTAATTAACTAAACAAACAAACTTGAACATTATTTTAAATACTTGATTCTTAAATAAACAAACTTGAACATTAATGCATTGGCTCATTTATGTTTGCGAACAACATCATTTGAAGTTCATGAACAAGCTCGACATTAAGCTCGATAAGAAGCTCAATAAAAGCTCGATTCATGTTCTATTTTGAACTCGTGAATAAGCTTGATAAGAATAATTAATATTTGACTATAGAATTAATAAATATAAATAATCATTACCTTTGTTATATAGACAATTGCTTTTATTATAAATGTGTTTGTTCATAGATATGTTCCTGAACGTGTTTGTTTGATAGTTAAAAAAATTCATTAAATATGTTCGCGAACAAGCTCGATAAACACTAAACGAACGAACATGAACTGAATATGAACCAAACATAAACACTCCTTAATTTAAATGAACCAAACATGAACATAAACGCTAAAGCTCGAACAAACATGAACCAAACTTGAACAAGCTGATATTAAATGAACACAAACATGAACACTCATATACTCGGCTCGGCTCGGTTCGTTTGCAGCCCTACTAGGTCTTAGACGGCATTTTCGGGTTTTACAATGATGCAAAAGCAGATGATGAATATGATGATTCAAATGATGGAAAAGATGTAGTATTTGGTAGGATTTGCAACACCTAGTGTTCCACCTGTAGCTATACTAGCCACTCCTACAACTCTTGGTAGCAGTGCAGATACAGATGCTAGAACCGCTAAGGATTGAATAATCAAGATTGAGAAAACATTGAATTGGATGAAATATCCTAGGGACAGAGGTGTATCTCTTGCAGTTTTTTATGTTGGAAGGTGAGGTATAATGACGGTAGGGGATAACATTTGAAAAAATTTGAAGGTAGAACTGAAGAACTAATTACTTGGGAGAAATTTGAACATGTTTGCATGGAGTGGTATGTTTCTCCTTTGGCAATATAGACAATGTAAGAGAGTTTTGTCAGCTTAAAGCAAGGCACCAAGACTGCTATTCAATATGAATCCAAGTTTACATCTTTATCAATTTATGCCCCACAACTTATCAGTACTCCAATTGAAAAATGTTATAGACTTTTAAAAGGCCCCAGAGATTCATTGAGACAACCTCTAATTCATCTTCACATAAAAGATTTCATTGAACTTGTTGAATGTGCTAGATTTTTGGAGCATGATATGGATATGGTAAAACAAAAATGAGAGGTTGAAAGCAAAAAGTGGTCATAGAAGTGGTTAATAAAAAATGTAGAAATTTCATCAGGGTCAACAACAGCAATCTGCAGGGTTTTGTGTGATACTAGTCTGTGAAAATTATGGAAAGTCTCATCCAGAAAAATGTCTAATAAATTCAGGAAAGTGTTATCTGTGTGGTGAGCCTAGACATATCAAAAGAAATTGTTCGAAAAACATCCAAGAAGTCAGAGAATTAAACGTATTTAGAGGATAGAGCAATACAAGACTGCTAAGCCACAAATGAGCCAACCAACTTTTAAGAAAAAAGGAGAAGCATTAGGAGAAGCGGTGAGATCAGCACCAACTTGAGTTCTTGCTTTAACTTCTCTAAAAGCCAAGGAATCTTCTAAAGTGGTGACAAGCATTATCAATATTTCAGACATACCTGCTAGAGTTCTTTTTGATTATGATCCACTTCATTCTTTTATATCTGAGGTATTCAATAAAAAATTACATATGAAACATAATGCTTTTACTCCTGGTCTGAACATTCTCTTACATGCTAGAATTTTTTTATTTTTCAGTGCTTTACTCCTGGTCTGAACATTCTCTTACATGCTAGAATTTTTTTATTTTTCAGTGCTTCATATTCAATTATTATTATGATAGCCGATAGGGAATTCCAATCAGATTTAATAGTCTTACCGTTAGTAGAATTTGAAATAATTTTGGAAATGAATTGGTTGGTTAAAGGCTTTGCTACCATTGAATGCTAGAAGAAAAGAGTAAGATTTGATTTGCATGGAGAAGAAATATTTTATTTTCAATGTGAAAGAGAAGTAATTTCATCTTTGATTGCTTCTAGTCAAGTGAACAAAATTATTAGAGCTGGTAAATTAATTTTCTTAGCAAAGTTAGAAGCTAGCAAAAGAGTAAATGATGATATAAATTATATTCTTGTAGTAAATGAATTTCTAAATATTTTCTCTATGAAATGGGATAGTTTACCTCCAAAAAGAAAGGTAGAATTTTCAATAGATATACAAAAGAAAGATGATAATTATTAGGTTAGAGTGCACTAGTGTTATTTATCAAGAAGAAAGATGGTTCGATCTGGCTTAGTATTGATTACAAAAAATTAAATAAAGTGACCTTTAAAAACAAGTACAATCTCCCAAGAATTGATTATCTATTTGATCAGTTAGTAGGTGTTTCTATATTCTCTAGATTTGATTTGTGATCTTGTTATCATCAAGTTAGAGTAAAAGAATGTAATATTTAGAAGATAATTTTTGATATCAGGTATGGGCATTATAAAATTTTTGTTATGTCATTTTGACTAATCAATGCCCCAGCATATTGATAAATATAATGAATATAATTTTCACCCTTATCTTGATCAATTTGTAATTATTTTTATAGATGATATTTTGATTTACACCAAGAATGATGATGAGCATGTAGAACATTTGAAAATTGTTCTGGGATTATTAAAGAAATATGAATTATTTGTTAGATATTCTAAATATGAATTTTGACTAAAGAAAATTTCATTCTTTGAAGCACATTGTAAGTGGTAAAGGTATATTAGTATATCCATAAAAGATAAAAATAGTTGTTGAATGGCTAAGACCAGCAAATATGACTGAAGTCCGGAGCTGATTGGGATTAGCAAGTTATTCCAGAAGATTTGCAAAATGCTTTTCTCAAATTGTTTTGCCTTTTTTTAGGTTGACTCAGGAGGATATTAAATTTGAATGGATAGGGGAATGTGAACAAAGTTTTCTAGAACTAAAAAAGGTGTTTAACACCTGCACTAGTATTGACAGTTCCTTCTGAAACTGAGGATTATGTGTTGATGCAGAATAAAAATGTAATCACATATGCTTCCAGATAGTTAATGTAATAGCCCGTATTTTGATCTAGGAAAATAAATATTTTTAAGAGTAATTATAAGTAAAAACCACAAATCGTCTTTGGCGTACCATTGATGTTATATTATTTTAATTACAAGATTTATTTCATAATTTTTGAGCACTAATGAAAATACTTAAGAAATTTACACATATTGATACAAATGAGGATTTTAGAATCGTTAGGAATGCATTTTACAAACCAATTTCACTGATATTTTTAAATAAAATGAGCTATTTTGTGAATATTTTCTATAATTTTTTAAGCCTAAAAAAGATTCATATGAATTTTATATTAAAAATAGATTAAATTAAATTAATTCTATTAATATTTTATTAAAATATCTTAAAGCATTATCTAAGTTTTATTAAATCCATTTCCTCTTGTTTAATGGATAACTGAGAAATGAAAAGGGAAATATGAGAGAAAATTGAGAGAGAAATGGAAGATTAAGATTTGGAGATCGCGAAGCAATTTTCGTCAATCCAGCCTATAGAAAAATTTTCCCTTCGCAGTGTAAGAAATATTTACCCTATTTTTTATTTTAATAATTTTATATTTTTGATAATTTTTCGATCAAATTTGTATTTCTTTTACCAAAAAATGAGGATAATATTGTATTGGTAAAACTTTCAACAGTTAATTTTATATATTATAGAGATTATGAACGTTTTGAGTATTTATTTAAGATTTTTTGTCGTATGATCTTGAAAAAGGAGCGATTTTTACCTATTCAAAAAATTATTTTGACTTTTAGAAATAAAGTTTTAGTTCAATTAAAGCCTCAGAATGATGTTTTACACAATCTCTGCTAATTTGATTAAATTTCTGAAAAAGTAAAGTTTTACACAGTAGGATTTTTTGTTACTTGTCATTTGGACATTTTGACACTTTCTAAATTAAGCATAATTATACTTACTTTACTATAATGCATTGAAAACGAGTGCTAATAATAATATGTGCGTGAAAAATAAATAAGTAAAGACTGATTATTCACTAACGTTGGCTTGACTTATAAATGATGGTGGACCGACAGGTTTTCTTTTAGATATTGTGATTTAATGTTATCCTCGACTGATTTATATGATACTGATTGTGAGTTGTAAAAAACTATTTCTGTGCTGATGGGTAAAGATGGATGACTCTATTTACCGAGCTAACAGATTACTGATACTAACACTGATACTAGTAAAACAATGTTATAGCCATGACTTTTATTTGTTTAATATGATTATTAAGATGAATAATACTAAATCATTACCATTATATAGCTTTACTGTTACTTCCACACATGATGTTGATGGTACTATTGTTCTACTGTTATTAATATATTGATCCCGTGATATATATTGAGCATATGCGCTAGACATTGATACTAAATTGACACTTATATAATATTTCTGAGCATGTAATACACATATACATTTATTTTTATATGATTTCGTTTGTCTTTACCAATGTTTTGATTTGATATTTTATACGATTTCTGTATTGATTGTAGTATTGATATGATGATTGCTTTAAAGATATGGAAGCATTATAGATGGAGGTCAGAATGCAGAGTGATCATAATTCTAGTAGTTTAAATTAGATAACTATTTATCCTTCTTTAGAAGAAAGAATCAGTGAAGCTCAAAAGATTAATGTTGGATATCAAAAGTTTATTGAACAATGACAGTACAAAAAAAAAAAAGAAAAGAACCCAGTGTAGATGAATAGATCAGGAGTGATATATATTTGTGGATATTAAAATGATCAGACATTGTTTAGGAGATTTTATATGAAGCTCATAACTCAAGTTATTCAATACATCCAGACGAAGATGCATAAAGATTTAAATATATTATTTTGGTGGCCTGGAATAAGAGAGAGGTAGCAAACTATGTGGCAAAATGTGAGAAATGCCAAGTTGTTAAAGCTAAATAATATAAACCTATTGGTATGTTGCAATCCTTAACAATATCAAAATGGAAGTGAGAAGATATAACGATGGATCTTGTTACAGGATTTTCCAGATCAAGGCAAGGGTAAGGTTGCATTTGGGTTGGGATTGATAGTTTAACAAAATCAACACACTTTCTACCTATTCGACAGACTGATTCAGTTGAGAAATTAGCTAAATTATTTTTAAAAGAAATCATTAGATTGCATGGAATTCCTAAACTCATAATGTCTGACAGAGATGGATATTTCATATATAAACTGTGAAAGAGTATTCATGAAAGTTTGGACTCAAAATTATAATTCAGTACTGCATTTCATCCACAGACTGATGGACAATTAGAAAGACTAATTCGAGTACTATAAGATTTGCTTAAATTGTGTATGCTGGATTTTGGAGGCAGTTGAGAAGATCATTTTCCTTTTATAGAATTCAATTACAATAATAGCTACTAATGAAGTATGAAGAAGGAACCATATGTGGCATTGTATGTTATTGTATGGAAGAAACTATAAAACTCCTTTGAATTGGTTTGAAATTGGAGAGAGAGAATTATTAGGTCACAGTTAGTTGATCAAACCACTGAAAAAGTCAGATTAATTAGAGACAGATTAAAAGCAGCTCAAGATCGTCCATAGAAATACTATGATCCTAAACATAAATTAAAAGAATTTGAAGTGGGTTTTTATTTTCTTAAACGTTAGACCTATGAAAGTTATTTCTAGATTTGGCTTAAGATGAAATAAAATCTTAGATATATTGGTCCATTTGAAATTATTAAAAGAGTGGGCCAAGTTGCTTACAAACTAGTACTACTTGCATACAAGTCTGATGTACACAATATTTTTTACATGTCAATGCTCAGAAAATGAATTACAGATGAAAATCAAAGAGTTTCATAGTATAAAATTTAGCTTCAAAATGATCTGACATATGTTGAGGTACCAGAAAAGATATTAAAAAGACATGTTCGTAATTTGAGAAGCAAAATAATTCCTTATTATGCGAAAGTGAAATGGAAAAAAATGGTCATTAAAGCATGGTACATGAGAAAAAGAGGCATACATGAGGCAAAAATTTCCTCACCTAATTGAGAAATGATGAAAAGTTGAATTTCGGGGGCAAAATTCTAATAATGAGGGAAGATTTGTAAGACAAAAATTCAGGTATGTAAAAACTAGAATTAATTAAACATATCTTGAAATTTATTTTAAAATGTAAGGTTAATTTAATGTTAAATTAGTATTAACAGTTAAGTTAAAATAAATTAGTAATTAATGTTATTATTATAAATATTAAACCAAGTATTTACAAATAAAAAACATACGATTGTTCAATAGTTTCGTTTCACATTAATAGGAGTATATCTCTTCCCATTTGGTCTTTTCATATCAGTCTTCTGTTTGCGCGTGAAGTAGAAAGTGGAGTGGTCTTAGTAGAGTATGTGTGTGATAAGCAGAAAGGAGTGAGGGTTCGACTTGTGAAGGAAGGATTGGCTGTAGAAGTGAAGCAAGGAGTGGAGAACAGGGATCGGGTAAGAGCAGGTATTATTTGATCGGCTGCATTGTGAGTATAGAAGACGGAAGAGGAGCATATAGCGAAGTAGAATTTCTGTGATAACTTGCAGCCGCGAGAGAACAGTGGCATTGAGGAGAATTGGTTCTTGGTGGGTAAGAAGCAAAGAAACTTCTGCTGAGTGGAAGAAGATTTTGATGGGAGCTTGTGAGTAGTGGAATCAAGTACGGCTATGAGTGAAGAGTGATCTAGGTAAAGGACGATGAAGAGGAAAAAGTGGGCTTTCGATCGGATCTATGAGCAGGGGCTCGCGGGAAAGCCGATCGTGATCGAGAGGGTGGAACCCGGGCCAGCGCCGGAGGTGGAGAAGAAGGAGGAGCTGGCTAGTGGGAGGCATGAGACGGAGGAGGAGAAGGAAGCGTGGAGATTGTTGAAGAAGTCGGTGGTGACGTATTGCGGGACTCCGGTGGGAACGCTGGCGGCCGACGATCCGGTGAATGGAGGGCAGATGCTTAATTACGATCAGGTTTTTATTAGGGATTTCGTGCCCTCAGCGCTGGCTTTTCTACTCAAGGGGGAGACGGAGATTGTCAGGAATTTTCTACTTCACACGTTGCAATTGCAGGTAAATTTTGCGGAAAGGGAGATCTATTCTGGATTGTTAAGGAATTGTGTTGGATTAAATTTCTGCATGTCCTAATAATTGATTATTATTGTGGTTAGGAGTATATAATTGGTACTAATTTAGTTGGGATTTGTTGATTCTAGTCTGGCAGCTGAGTTATTATTACCAGTTTGTTGTGAAATTAATAAGACATCTCCTTTTGAAATTTGAATTGCATGCCTTCGATCTTAAATGAGCCCTCTCCTTGAAATATAAGATTTTTTCCTTAATTATTAGGAAATTAAGGAAAAAAAAACGTTTTATGATTCTAAGAATACTTATCTGTACATGTTTTTTTTTTTGGGATGAATTATCAGTACATGCTAATGTGCGATTGGATTTAGGATATTTGTTGTTATACGCGATGTTCGATGGGCCGTTGGGCACAGATGTACTTTGCCTAAAATACCCTTCAACTGTTTTAAGGTTATTTTATGTTTTTCATTTTTATTCTCAATATTCACTGAATGAAATTAATCTCTTTTAACAACTGTTATTTACAATTTACTGATAGAAAAAACATCATCTTGTCTTTTTGTGCATTGAAATTCCCTTCATGTTATTGCTATAATCTTAAAAATTTTCATTCCGAAATCCGAATTAGTGAAACAATATTTGATTCCTTGTGAATTAGCTAATGCTTGGATTAATCTAATGTCCTTTACTATTTTGGCACTGTTTTAAAGTTTTGAAGAAGTTCTAAAGGACATTCCTTTTAAATTTTGTAAATATTTAAGAATGACATTTGATGGAAAGATTTGATTGCAAACTGAACAAGAGTTTAAACAGTTGTTTTTTCATACGTCCACATTTTGTATATATTCTAGCGTTCTAAATTCTATTGAATTTTACTAGCTTTGAAGGTATGGCGAGCTTGAGTTTCTTACAGCCTCTTTCTATATTTTTTAACATTTAGAGCTGGGAAAAGACTGTTGACTGCTACAGCCCTGGGCAAGGATTGATGCCCGCCAGTTTTAAGGTTCGAACCCTGCCTTTGAGTGATGACAAGGAAGCATACGAGGAGGTTCTTGATCCTGATTTTGGTGAGTCGGCCATTGGACGTGTAGCCCCGGTTGATTCTGGTTAGCCTTTTGACTTGCTGAAAAATTTTCCTCCATTTCATTTGATCAAAAGTGAACTAAATTCCTTGAAGATGAAAATGGATTAATCCTCCTGCTTTTCTCATAGGATTGTGGTGGATCATTTTGCTGAGAGCTTATGGAAAGATCTCTGGAGACTATGCATTGCAGGAACGTGTTGATGTACAAACAGGGATCAGACTCATCTTGAATTTATGTTTAACAGATGGCTTTGACATGTTTCCAACTCTCCTGGTAACTGATGGCTCTTGCATGATAGATAGAAGAATGGGCATCCATGGCCATCCTCTTGAAATCCAAGTTAGTAGAACTCATTTGGATATCTTATTTTGCAAAATACGCATGTTTTAAATCTTAGGATTTGATCTAGGGTTGCAGTTCCTGATGATATTTTATGGAAGCACTTGTAGAATAGCTAAATAGCATCTGCAAGACAAGTGCTTTACCATAATAGCATAGTTGATTTTGATAGAACTCTATGCTAAATTAAATGAATAGTCAATCTCATTGTCACATTAAGGTTCAATGTACATGCCAACTAGTCCATGATAAATAAATAAATAGGATATGCTCATTTTTATCTTCATTTTTGTATCAACAAATGTCTCTTAGAGGTGCACTTTTGGGCTGATAAGCTTGTTGAATTTTTTGCTTCAGTCTTTGTTCTACTCAGCTTTACGGTGCTCCCGTGAAATGATCACTCCTAATGAAGGGTCAAAGAAACTAATTCATGCCATCAATAATCGGCTCAGTGCATTATCATTTCACATAAGAGAGTATTATTGGGTGGACATGAAGAAGATTAATGAGATTTATCGATATAAGACAGAAGAGTACTCATATGATGCTGCAAACAAGTTCAATATATATCCTGAACAGATTCCTTCATGGCTAGTGAATTGGATTCCTGATAAAGGAGGCTATCTTATTGGAAACGTGCAGCCTGCTCATATGGATTTCAGGTTCTTTTTGCTTGGAAATCTCTGGGCCATAACTTCATCCTTAACCACACCTTGGCAAGCTGACGGCATCCTCAATCTTATAGAGGACAAATGGGATGATCTTGTGGGAAATATGCCTCTAAAGATATGTTACCCTGCATTGGAGAATGACGAATGGCGCATAATCACCGGAAGTGATCCAAAGAACACGTAAGTTTTAGTATGTATAAACTATTGGCTTATTTTATAAAATGGATAATTTTAATTAGTAATTATTTCAAAATTTTATTAATCATTTAAGAAAAATTCCTATACTCTTCCCTTGTATGTTTTGGGCTTAATTTAGTATTGATGCATTTCATGTATAACATAACTACCACATCTATTTCTAGATGGGCATCCCAGTTTCCTTATACATAATCCATGTCGGTTGCAACTTGCTGTTTACTTGAGTTGTTTGTCCTCTGAAAACTTTTTCCTATTGAATTATTGCAACTCTTTTTTTATAAATTTAAGCATGAATTCAATATTTTTATTTGTAGTTTATTTTATAATATATTTGTACCCTCTATATCTTGTTTATTACTTATTGATGTTTCACTTATCGGTGTAGCAAATTACTATTTGTTCTCTATCACACCCTGCATTAGATATAGCAAAGATGAATACATCAATTAGTTTCTTCCATATAATTTTCTATATTTTATTGCTTCTATTGTGTATAATCATTCTTCATGGTATTTGAGCATTAGCAACCTCCCTTGTTGAATCTCTGGCCGTTTGTACCCATCTCACAACCTATGTCTAAAAGCGCTCATTGGCAACCTCTGCTAAACCTACTTTGGGCTCCAAAGACAAACCATCACTTAAAATGGAAGATACTCTTATTCCCACGTTAAAATTTATGATGTCTCCGCGATTGAAAACCTTTTAATATGGAGATCCCAAGTCCTTAGAATATTCCGAGCCAATGGTTTTGAAGGCTATCTTGATTTCTCTAGCCATCATCTCAACCTGTAGAATAACATTGATCAAAACTTGGCAACAATGCTATATTTCATAATATCAACACCCCACCTCTATTTTCTTACTCTAGATTCATGTACAAAAATTTAAACTAGAGTAGATCGAAAATGTGGTGCACCAATCACTCTTTTATTATTTAACTGAAAAACATCTTCATGAAGTATCAAACCATAACCCATTATCTGTCTACAATCAAAGCCATGGTTGATACAATCAACGCTATCAAATCTCCTATGTAAATTAAAAGATATCATCCTCAACACAATAATAGGCTTTCCCCCAACCTATCAATCCTTTAAGATGGCCATGTGAACAAACCTGTAATCAATTAGCCTAGACGAACTCTACTCCCTTCTCTACAGTGAAGAAACAAACATTGCAGAGAGGATGTATGCAAACTTTAAGGCATTTAGAAGACATAAGCTGCACTTCCTCTCATAGCCATTAGTGGCTTAGAGCGTGGGTCCCTCGTTTCAACACGTTGCTTGCATAGGCCTTTACTACCCAAACAAGCACAAGCAAGGCTGATATTACTTCTCCAACTTCAGGGAGGAAAGTCCATCTCATTTCTCAGGGAATGCCAAATATGCGGCAAATTTGGAGACTCTGTTGCCAAGTGTTGGCAGCACATAACTCACCTATCACAATCACAACTCCAGTCCCCATGCTCTGCTCTCCATTTCAAATGAATTTCAAATGAAGGATATAAATATTATATTTTGTTTATTGACGAGTTCTTTGGATTTTACTCGGCACTACTAATAAAATACAAATTAGAAATAACATCTAAAATCACTCAATTTTAATAAATAGCTGCATGAAATTTCAACAAAGGTAATTGATGGGGACATCAGATTTCGACATGTGTACCATCGCCGACGGCGCAGATCTACGGCTACGATCCAGAGCCTCTACTTTTGAGTTATTTACAGCTTATGTCATGTGTTCTTTTCTTAGTTTTCCTAGTTTGCCCCTGAGGGCATTGTTTGACTTATGTAGCCCCGAGGGCATTTATGTCTTTTCTTTTCTTTTAGTTTGAGCCTCCTTATATGAGGCATTATGCATTGTAATCTTTTAGTTTTGATAAAATGAAAAATTATTCCTCTTTGTTCTCTTTGTGAGTGCATTCCTATAGATCTCTTAGTGAGTTCAACGAGAAAACTAGATCTCTCCGTGAGTTCTAGATTTCGTCCCAAGATTATTGCGTGGAGATCGAGTGTTGAAGAAAGCGAAGCAAGTGGAATCCAAGCAACGAAAATATGCTTCACAGCCCAGCCGTACCCTGCAGGGGCCTCCCGCCGGCCTGCCAAATCCCACCCGCCGGCCTGCCCAGCTCGGCTGTCCCGCCGCCTCCGCCCCTGAGAATTCCCTGCCAGGATTTCAAAATTGCTGAAATCAGTTACTTTCCTAATTAGTGCCTATCTAATTAAGAGAGTCAATCAAGGAGATTTAAGTCTATTTCAAATCTCAAAATTATTTCTTTCTTGCTTGAATTTAAATTGGGAAGTTACCTAATTTAATTAAATTCTGAAATTACTCAGGTTTTAATTAAGTTTTACTTAATCTTGTGGTCCCCAATTGTTTATTTTCAAAACCCCCATTTCTCTCTACATGGCCGGCCACCTCTCTCTCTTTCCCCTATTAATCCTCTTAATTGCTCCTTAATTCCTTTCCCTCCTAATTTTAATTTCAAATCAAAATCAATTGAAATTAAAATTAAATCCAAATTTAAGTCCTCCTCCCATAGCTCCACCCGCCCAAGCATCTCTCCAACCCGTGACCGGCCTCCTCCCCCCTCATTGGCTCACGGCTTGCATCCTTGTCTCCCCTCTTTGGGTTTTGTCGTTCACTACCGCCATGCATGGATGAACCCGAATGGAATTTCGGATTTGAATACGACCACAACGGACGAGTCGACCTCCTCCATTCACCCTTCTTCGACGTTGGATTCGACTTCGACGACACCCCCGAAGAGTACTTGGACCGGATCTTACCAACCCTCGTGGACTCCATCGACGATCATTTCTCCGTCTACACGTGGATCATCGAAAGCCGTCCACCCGCTCCTCCGAACCAGGCCTCCGTCCCGGCGACAAGTCCTCTCAAGATCACTTGTCTACTAGTGGCGTCGCTAAGTCTGCTCACGGTTCTATTCCGCTAGCCTCCACTTTAAATTGAGTGAGGGATCCTAAGGTGAAGGATCTAAATCTTAAATTTTGGGCTTTGTTATTCTTAGCTATTCGCATTACTTGAAGTTTTAATGTTATTTTGAAAAGCCTTCTAATCTCTAAATGTGATTTCTTATTGTTACTTAATCATTCGTCTTCTAATTCTTGAACTTCACTTGATTAAGCATAACGTTTTGGTAGCAAGTTATGATTCAATATTTCTAATAATTTTAAGTGCAATTCTCATTTCATCGCATGATTGATTCACATCATTTGTGGTATCAGAGCATGGCTAGCATGCTTTTCTTGTGCTAGAAGTTCCTAGGAAGTTAGTTATCATTTGTGTAGCTCACTTGCATGCATACCATTGCTTATTTCATAAGAATTTCCTGTTTCATTTTGCTGTCCGGAATTTTCTGCATGTTGTTGTCATCATAATCAAATTGGTTCGCCACCTAAGTGTTTAGGTCACTTGCTACACTTGATATACTTGCTGTCCAGATCAATTCCTGCACTTTTAGAGACATCTAAGTGACCCGAAAGCCGTCCTAAAGTTGCTGTCCAGTGAAGTAAACTATCCATAACTTTTAGACAACTTAAATCCTTATTGTAAGTTGCTGTCCGCTTCCAACCAGCAACTTATAGAAGCTTTAGGACCCTTCTACCTTAGTGTCTAGGTGCTGTCCACCACCCCGTTACCTCTCCTTGTGACCACTAACCTTCTCCCATGGATCCGGAACACATCCAAGCGACTCTCGACCTTATTGTGGGGCAACTCGGCACGTTGAACCAACAAGTGCGCAACACCCAGACGGATTTAGCAGACTTTAGACGCCATACAAGTGACCTTCTAGATAACATCGAGCGTATCGGGAACCCCGCTATTTATACACCCTCCAGGCCGCACTCACCTTATGGCGATGACAACCGAGCTGAGCGTGAGCCGCCCCGAGATAATGGCCCTCCTAGAGACCATTACCGTTATAACCCGAGACCACATCACGAACCCGTAGGAGATGACAACCCTTGGAGAGACAACGACGCTCAATTACTGAAAAACATTAGGATTGACGCTCCAACCTACGACGAAACTCTTGACCCCCAAGTTTTCCTGGATTGGCTCAAATCGATGGACAGCTACTTTAAATGGTACAACATCTCTGAAGCTAGGAAAGTCAGGTTCGCCGAAATGAAGCTAATTGGTCGAGCCAACCTGTATTGGACCAACTTAGAAAATATGCGCGAAGCTCGCGGTGAACACCCCATCAGCGATTGGAGGACCATGAAGCAAGAACTTAGGAGGAAATACTTACCACCTTCATACTACCCTAAGCTTCTGGATAAGTGGAATCGACTAACCCAGAGGAGCAAGCCAGTTAAAGATTACATCTCCGCCTTTGACGATTTCCTGATTCGTTGCAACGGCGAGGAATCTGCTACCCCAACACAAATCCTGTCTATAATTAGAGCTGGCCTTAGGGAAGATCTTAGGACTGAACTGTTTGCTAGAGGAATAGACACCTTAGAGGCCGCTTGCAGCCTGGTACTTGACCTAGAAGAATCCAAGACCCACTCCCACACTAGGCAGTTTGATGCTCGACCTAACCCCTATCGAACTTCCACTAGCCAGACCCAAAATCGGTCCACGAACTCGATAGGTAGTCGACCCACTTCCAGTTCGGCCCCACCTCGCCCGGATTCTAAAGGTAAAATCCCCAAACGTGACGCGCCCAAAACCAACTCAGGAACCAAATGTTATAGGTGTCATGGGTATGGACACATTGCGTCCCAATGCTCCAGCCCATATAAGGTCACCATTATAGAAGAGGTTGATGACGACGAGGACGAACCTGAGACTGACATAGTTCATCATGTTGATGAGGAAAAAGACTCCTTTACGGAAGAAGAACCCATTACCCTTCAGGTTGTTAGATGCGCTTTGTCACAACCCAAGTTAAACGATGATTGGCGTAGGACTTCCATTTTTCATACCTTTGTTAAGATTGGGGAAAAGAACTGCAAGGTTATCATCGATA